AATGAGTTGATGAAACACTATATTTTGGAATACAAATTGTGAATCTAATTTAAAAAAACCCAAGAAGTAAGGTGGTTGAGGAGATTTCAAGTTCCTGATTGCTCTTTAGTAAGGAAGATTTGGGTGAGTCATATAAGGAAGCTGAATGTCCTCATCAATTTCAAGAAAAGATGGTTTGCATAATCAGGCCATATATATATATATATATATTTGCATATCAATGCACATTATATCTCTATTATTTGAACTTACGGTGTTTTTTCTTTGTATCTCTAAATATATTAGAAATTTTGTAAGATTATATGTGTGTGCATATATCACACACATATAAAAGTCATTAATAATATCTATTCTAACATTTTAACTCATATCAAAGACATTTAGGTGAACTATGTTTTTGGAATACAATTTGCCTAGAAAGAAACTTTTGTGAGATCCCTTCAAATATTATTTTCACATCCTAATCACAGTGCGTGAAATCCATAACTGAAGTGTTATGCTCTTCCCCCTTCTCATGCATGTCTAGACACCTGCACGTACCCGCCTCAGAGGTGGTTCTGAAAGAAGCGGTAATGGACATAGCATTGCTTTGGGCCCTCTTCTGCCCTGTTAGCCCCCGCCCCCCCTCCTCAGGCTCATCTCAGCTCATTGAGTATTAATGTATACATACACAAGTACATCTTTGTGATTTTCTGTACTTTAGTGTGAGTGCCAGTGAAGAGAGAGAAACAAAAGGACAAGAAAACCCTGAATAACTCAACCACATTGCCAGTGTGCAGTCAGCTGCAGTGGAAAATTCCCTGAGGAGGTGTCGCCTCATCTAGTCTAAGCCCAGCCTTCCAGAGTCAAGAGGTGACATACTCTATCCCAAGGTCCAACACCTCAGGCTCTTTGGGTTCCTTCTCAGATTTTACACAAGGGAGAAACGGAACATTATTAACACTTTGCTGCCCTTATGGGCCTTTTAAAGAGCAAAATCAGGGAGACAGCTAGGCCTGCAAAGATGCCTTATGGTGACAGAGAATCTCCCCTTCCCATCCTGTTGGGACGTTATGTTCAGAAATAACATAAGTTATTTTCCAAATGATAATTTTGCCTTCCTACTGTGAAAATATAAATCAGCAGTAGTCTATGTAAAAGAGACATTTTCTAGCCCCATCTTAAAAAACTAAAGGTTGATTTGTTACTAAAAGAATGTGTATTTTGGAATTTAAGTATCGCTTCAATCTTGTGAACCTAATCACTTCAATCTTGATAGTACATTGAGAGTAATAATACAAACTAGTTAACAGGGCTTCTGTAAGAAGTAACTGACAGAATTATATGTAAGGAGTCTGGACCCCTTTACCCCAGGGAAATGTGAGCTAAGCCTGAATAAAGAATGCCCCTATCCCACAGCTACCCATGTCCCAGGGACCTTGAAGGAGTCTGAGTGCCAGAGTCAGTTGTCAGTTCTGATCTCTGGCCCCATCACCAGGTCCACTGCCCCCTCAGTTTGGTGAGGGACCTAGGAAAGAATGACTATTTTAATACTTGCACTCTTTTCCTTTTGGATATCCATGAGCTTGTCTGTTGTTCCACAAATGCATCCACTGACAGTGAACAAGCCTGAACAAATAAAAGTATCCTAAGAATGGCAGGGTGCGGGGGTTCATGCCTGTAATCCCAGCACTTTGGGAGGCAGAAGTGGGTGGATCACAAGATCAGGAGATTGAGACCATCCTGGCTAACACAGTGAAACCACATTTCTACTAAAAATACAAAAAATTAGCCAGGCGTGGTGGCATGCACCTATAGTCCCAGCTACGTGGGAGGCTGAAGCAGGAGAATTGCTTGAACCTGTAAGGCAGAGGTTGCAGTGAGATGACATCGCGCCACTGCACTCCAGCCTGGGTGACAGAGTGAGACCCCATCTCAGAAAAAAAAAGTATCCTAAGAATTAGGCACACATCGGAAGTTTGTTCCCTGGCAGATTTCAACATCGCATTGTTATCGTGCAGAAAGGCTCAATTTTCTTAGTTGCTCTGCAACTGATTGTTTTGTGTCCTTGCTTAGAGAGAGATACCAAATTGTTTTGCAGCATTACTTAGAGAGAGAGAGAGACTGATAAGTCCTTCAGTTTTAGTACCTTCAGCTATAAAGTGATTACTAAAATAATTGCCTTCTAAATGTATCTGCAAAAATAAATGAGGACATTGTAAGCAATAAACAGTGAATTTCAATAGAAACAGCTTCTCTAATCAGAAAAGTCAGTGAATGTAATTAAAAAATGTGAGGAACCATCCCTTTAAAATATTTTGGATATATATTTATGAAATATGCTTATGGTAATGATATCACTTTTTCTGAAGGCATTTCTAAATCTTTCCTTAAAGCTTAGATTTACATAAATACATGTTTATGCCACTGGCAAAAAAGAGGAATTCTTATTACTTGCATCTAGGGAAAACTAAATACATTTATGAGTTAGGATTCATTTAAATGTCTATTTTTACAGCTAATCATTTGTTTATTTAGTGAAAAATATTTTGCCTTCATTAAAATTTTGAATGCTCAGAGGAATTTAATAGCAATGATCAAAGTTCAGTTAATACTCTGAAATATTTATACCTGTAATAAAGGCAAATGGCTTTGCTTAACCTGAAAATTGCTCTTTTAACCAGAGGAATATAGATTAAACACTGATTTATGAATTTGCTAACTACTTGTGCTACTTTTGCTTAGTATTATCCTTGTCCTTTGTTTTTTCTTGGACAAAACAGGACAAAACAGCAGCACATATTTAAGAAACATTTGCTTATGGCTTTATTAAAGACCACATGCAGAAATGTATACTAAGACTGGTTGTAATAGAATTCAATTAAAGTGCACTTTTGCAACTAATGACCTATTAAGGGTAAGCTGTTGATACAAGAAAAAAATTTAAATTTAAGTTTTGATATTAGAAGTATAAGTGGGTTAAAATTCACAAATTGACTAATTATGCTCACAAGTCCATGTATATAGCTCAAGCATATGTTCAACTTGAGGAAATTCAGACATATAGTATTATTAAGAAAATTCTATACAGACTAGAGAGTTCTCATGTATAATTATTATGTGGAGGCTTTTGATAACTATAACCTTAAAATTTTGCTGCATATACTATTTGCCATGAACATTTTTCATTTGCAGTCTGTGTGGATAGTTATTACTATTAAGATTATATACAGTTGATATCTGTTATCTAAAATGGGTGGGACCAGAATTTGGGATTTTTTTCAAATTTTGGAATATTTGCATATACATAATGAGATGGGAATGGGACCAAAGTCTAAACATGAAATTCATTTATGTTTTCTATACATTTTATACACATAGTCTGAGGGTCATTTTATTTTTCCCTTGGGGCTACTGAATAAGCCGTGTGTTGTGCAACTCCCTTTTGGCTGTGTCAGATTGAGGACAGGTGTAAAATTTTCATGGTGTCATGTCGGTGCTCAAAAAGTTTTGAATTTTGGAACCATTTAGATACTGGATTTTCAGATTAGCAATGCTCAACCTGTATTGAGTACTTCTCTGAGCTGGACTATTTAGGTTTGGTGAGGAATAGAATGTCTAGGTGGTTATATATGAGAGCCTTGATGAAGCTCCAAAGTTGAAAAATTCCTCCCTCTTCGGCCTGAAATTACAGCTCTGATATAAATTTATTTCTCACATTCTGATTTTCTTTAATATAATCCTGATTAAAGTACACGATTTCAGAGAAAGTGATACATTGTCACTAATAGCTATTAATGACATCATACTTATCACAACTCTTTACTAGCCATGGAGAGAATTCTGGGGCATAGGATATAAGCTGGTAAGTTTCAATGCAGGGAAATACAGAAGGCTCTTTTAGAAGTTAGCGCAAGAGCTGACAATACAAAGGCTCATCCCTGGAGACAATGTCTAGGGACAACTCTGAGTCACAAAATAACTTAAATTCCCTGCTGTACCCTAAATTTCAATCTAAGACATAAAAGTTGTATACTGGTTGACATGTTATGCATTTAACAGTTAAGTTGAATGAATAAATATATCATTAAAGGGGATACACTCTAACTACTCTGGTAGATATCTATAGTATATATCTGGTACCTAGATAGATAGATAGATAGACAGATAGAGTATATATCTGGTAAATATCTGTAGTAAATGCACTAACAATAATGAGAATACGTACTTAGACCAGGCAGAATTGAGGAGAAATCCCCACATTTTTTCAAGGTTAATGAGTAAATCTTTAGGGTAAATGTGTTGTTGGAGAAGCTGTTTACAGAGAGGAAAAAGGAGGTTTTGGCTTAGGAAAGGGAAAGAAGAGCTCACTTTCTTGAGAGGGCAGGAAATGAGCTTGTATTGTTCCAAACGAAAAGCCGAAAAGCCGTAGGTACAAAACTTCTCTTGAATGACATCAAACATACTACCTTTACTTTTCACTCCAATTTGTAGACTAGAGTTTCAGGACCAAGCTTTTTCACTGATTGTCTTTTCGTGAGTCATCTCAGTTTCTTGCCTTTCCTATAGCACGTTTCCTCTATGCTTTTGTTAATCGCCGGGGAAAAGGGTGGAAAAAATGCTACACATTTTTTACAAACTCCTCCAACTGAAATGACCTAAGGATTGTTCTGATACATTTTGAGGAACGTTGGATGATACTCAAAATTTATTCCAACCTGGTGATTCTAAGATTTTTTTCTACTGGGATGTCAGTAGACTAGAGTTTATAGCTCTTTGGTGTTGCCCAGGTTTTGGAGACATTGAGACTTGTGGCTAGGTATTGACCGTATTAATAGATTCTAGTTGCTATGATGTGATTGTTTAAAACTATATAAATCTGAAAGTGAAATGATTGGGTTTTATACTTTGGAGCTCCACTAGGGATCTCACTATCCATTTAGAAACAATGGGTCCATGGTGATTAGGACAGTAACAAGTAGGAAGCTTTCCGAATTGGCAGTGAGCCCATATCTCTCCTGGGCACCAGAGAAACAGTACAAGTTATCAGCAGAGTTCAGTATGGTTAAGGTTGTTTAACTGGGGCGCAGCAGCACCCTGCAACTCTGAAGAAATCTCTTTTTCTTAAGGTTCAGAAAGACGTAGCTTTATTTGAATTATTCTGAAAAAGCTTAACACTAGGGCTAGCATCAAAATGCACAAACAAGCATGAGATCTTTTCTTTCTATTTAGGTTTATTTTCTCTCTCTTTTCCATGCAGAATGATAACAGGAGAAACAGTTACTTCCATTAACAATCATGGCTTGTATCACGTCTTTTCAGTTCTGACACTAATCACAGCAAAGGCCCAGCAGCCTCTTGACGCACTGCCGAGCAATCCATGTTCAACTGTGACCCAAATTTTAAAAGTAAAAAACAAAGGCAATGTTTCCAAATAGCTTCCTGAGAAATGTTTTTACAAGGAGTATAGTACAACTCTTAAGGGTTCTATGGTATACAAGCCTTATATCGTATATGTATAGTATAACAACTCTTAAGAGTACGACATTTCAGTTATTTCTTTCCCTATTTTTCTCCTTTCTTGTATTGATTTGCAAGTTCCTGTGACCCCGTAGTGCTCACATAAATTACTGTTATTTGAAGCATCTGATTATCACTCATTTAGATGAGGAAAATATGATTATTGTCCTCAGATAATGCATAGAGTCATCACCTGTTTTTCTACGCCTATAAGCTATGGATGGTTTTACATTTTTAAATGTTGAAGAAAAAAATCAAAAGAACAATAATGCTTTATGACACAGGAAAATTATGTAAAATCTAAATTTCAGTATCCAGAAATAACTTTTTACTGGAACACAGTCACACTCACTTGTCTATGCCTGATCTATGGCTGTTTTCATACTGCAACAGAGTTAAGTGGTAAGTACCAAGACCAACTGGCCTGCAAAGCTCTTTACAGGAAAAATTTGCTGGCTGTTGAATGAGAATATAAAACAGTAAAAGTTTAAATGTTGATGTGAAGAGAGTGTTGCCCCAATTAACTGCAGTTACATTTTCCACAATCAATTATTAGTGCTTAATATTTTGAAGGCATCTCATACTTGTGGAGTTCTTTTCCATCAATAGTATTTAATCATAACAACTAATGCAAGCTAAGGTGACTCCACAATTACAGCGAGTCAGAAGGAAACAGCTTTTCCCATAGTGAATGAGGCTTAAGAAGAAAATGGAATTCATAGAAGAGGAGAAAATTGGTTTCTACCTAAAATCTTCCACTTAGTTTTAATACACATATATGCATTACTAATAGAATTAGAGTATTTTCTATGGTCCCTGGTGGGAGCTTGGCAGATTTCTGGCTGAAGAAGAGTCTGGGTCTTGGCTTTCAAATATAAAATAGTGATGGGCAGGGTGGAAATGCTTCCCAAGATTTCTCCACATAACATCCAAGTTGTCAGTGTCTTCCCCTCTGCCTGCTTAGTCATTTTGGGTTCTTATCTTTGAGGCAGAGGAGACTTTCAGTGCTTAACCCTGATGTGCTTTGTTTTTATTCATGAGGTCCGATCAACATTTGGTGGGAGTACAAAAGTTTGTATTATTTCTTACTTTATTATTTATTTATTTATTCTGAGACAGAATCTCACTCTGTTGCCCAAACTGGAGGACAGTGGCATGATCTTGGCTCACTACAACCTCTGCCTCCCAGGTTCCAGTGATTCTCCTGCCTCAGCCTCCCCAGTAGGTGAGACTACAGGTGCCCACCACCAGGTGCGGGTAATTTTTTTTTTTTTTTTTTTTTTTTGAGACGTAGTTTCACTCTTGTTACCCAGGCTGGAGTGCAATGGTGCGATCTCGGCTCACCGCAACCTCCACCTCCTGGGTTCAGGCAATTCTCCTGCCTCAGCCTCCTGAGTAGCTGCGATTACAGGCACGTGCCACCATGCCCAGCTATTTTTTTGTATTTTTAGTAGAGATGGGGTTTCACCATGTTGACCAGGATGGTCTCGATATCTTGACCTCGTGATCCACCCACCTCGGCCTCCCAAAGTACTGGGATTACAGGCGTGAGCCACCGTGCCCGGCCAATTTTTCTATTTTTAGTAGAGATGGGGTTTCACCATGTTGGCCAGGCTGGTCTCAAACTCCTGACCTCAAGTGGTCCACTCACGTTGGCCTCCGAAAGCGCTGGGATTATAGATGTGAGCCACCACACCCGGCTCTGGAGAACAGAATTTTAGATGGGCGTTTTCCATAATCTACTTCTCTGTAACATTTTTAAGTGTCCTGTCTAGTGGTTAATGTCTCAAAAAATAAAAAAATGAAGAAGAGAAAGAAAGAATTTGCCTTTAAGAATAATGATCCTGATTCTTCACTTTTCCAGCGAACTCAGTGCAAACTTCCCCAAATATATGGTGGAGGGAGAGGTACCAGCAGGGAAAATGAGTCCTTGATTAGAATAGAAAAATCACCTCATTCCAAATGAATTATGTAATGCTCACAGTCCAGTGGTATCACATAGGTCCAAAAATGTATGAAAGGCCTGCTACATGCTCTAATCCATACTGGACGTCTGGGCAAGTATAAGGCTTCTCACTGATGTTAAACTAGGGATCTAGGACATATGTAAAATGTTGCTCACTAAACAAAAGTGTGCCTCTGTGAAGAATCTAAACGTGGGCAATTCTGCTGAGATACAGTTGACAGTAATTTAATAGTGACTTGTTTATTGTTGCACAATGGTAGCTGTTAGCTCAGGAATTGAAATGAGGAACTTTCTATCCATAACAAGAAATAATAGAGATTAAACAAGTAGTGTCTGGAATCTAGCTGCCTCCATCTGAATCCTCTGTTGATCATTTTCTACCTGTGTGATATTGGACAAGTTATATTATCAGTCTTTGTCTCGGTTTCCTTAGCTGCAAAGTTGTAAAAAACAATATCTAATATATTTATGAGGATTAAGTAAATTATAGCATGTAAAACACCTTAAAGGTGTTTGGCATATAAATGAAAATCCAATAAAAAATAACAACAACATACACACATGATCTAAAAGATAGCTCAATCTTTGTTCAGTGTTCCAGTTCCAGTTTGAGCATAGGGAATAGTTTTTAACACTATATTTGTGTTTAAATTTGCTGGAGTTAAATTGAAAAGAAAAATTATAATTTATCATGAGAAAAAGTGTGCAATACACACAATCTGAAGAAAAAAGATAAAAGTAATATTTATCATTACGTAGTAGCTTATATGATAGCATATACTTCTATGTACCAGGAACTGTTCCAAGCTCTTTTATATAAATTTAACTTAATCTCCACAACTCTGGGCATAAGTAAATACTAATATTATTCTTATTTTATGTATACAAGAGTACAGGTAAGATGAGAAGAACAATGTAATGATTTGAGTTGCTTTACGTCTTAAGCTGCTGTTAATGATGAACTCTCAGGATACCATTAGAATCTCATTCTTTTATATGTCTGTAATCTAGTTGTTAAATTGTTTTAAACGAAGTTTCTTCTATGAGTTATTTATATTGAGACTTTGCTGTTGTGTATTCCAGGGAGGGTCATTTTGGAACAGGGCCAGGCTGATGGAGGAATAGACCTCAGTGGATGAGTGGTTTCTGGAAGTCATTAAGAAATGTGTCAGCAAACTGGAGAAGCCAGCACAAATGACAATTGCTAACAATAGAAGTACTTTTGAAATTACATTATGGTTGAATATGACCAAATCCAAAAATGGTAAAGACACGTGAATACATAGGCATTTAGTCAATCATTTAAGGTGAAATCCTAGTAGCAAAAACTCACCTAGCAAAGCATCACAAGAAACTCCACTGGAAACATTGATGAAGGCTTCACAATTTCTAATTACACCCTGAAATGACTTTTTATTTAGGTCTTCACAGAATATACTTTTGCTTGCAAGGCATCAGCTTTGTTTTCATCATATAAACAGCAACATTTGAAAGGAAAATAGCCAGTGCTATCACTAGCTACTATGTTTGAATTGTACCAGTTAACCAATTACTCAAATCATGGTAGATTTGAATTGTCTTTGTGTTTATGAAAACACATTTGTAGAATTGAGGTTAAGCAAGCTCAAGTATTTTAGAGAAACAGTCTAATTCCCTATGACTGGCCAAAAGACAACATTGAGCTATTTTGATACTCAAATGATTGTAGAAAATAGCTCTGGATATTTGATATTCTCAATTTAAATGGTAGGATTGTGTATAAAAGTTGATAGTGTGCTTCATCTACAACAGATGTGATTCTGTCTTCTACCTCCCACCCCACTCCTACCCTCTAGAGAGTACTGAACGAACATTAGAGTTGAGTAGAAGTTCCTGCAAAATGAAAGGATGTCTCGCCCATTCACACCATGTTTCAGAGCCTTCACCCCTCAGATTTCAACATATGACTTCTAACTGCAGGTGCAGACTGGAGGCAAATAGGAATGTAGAGCTACCCACATTTGACAGAAGTAGACTGTGAGGCAATACTGCAAGGTATTTTCCTAAAAAATGTCCATGGAAACTCAAGAAATCAGTTGCATCTTCCAGATGAAAATTCCCTCCTGATGTTCCTCCTGACATGCTGGTGGATCTATTCTTTGCTAGAAGATGGAGTTCTTAAAGGGCTTGCACTTGCTCCCATGATCCTGAAGGACATGCTGAGTATTTTGGAAAGCTCAACCGTGCAGGAGAAGAGAGTGATAATGTTTTCTTATGGACATTTTATAGATGGAATCATACAATTTTCGGTCTATTTAGCGTGTTCTTATTTTAAAAACTTGAGAAAGTGGGATCCATGAGCTGACTTGTTTAAGGCAACTTTGCCCCGTGGTCAGGGTAAAAATGCAGATCTGCAGGATCCTTGCACCACTTTGCCTCCCATAGATTACAACTGAAGGGCCCAGGAGTCTTCAAGTAACTCTCCATCCTCTTTCCTCAGTAGGAGATTGCACTGCTCTGAATGATTTATGTCTAAAATGGTATCAATTTTTTTTCCAAATTGCAGCATGTTTGCATTCTAGTTGTGATGTAGCTCGAGACTCAGCAATATTCTTCCTGGAATAAAGGAGCTCCATATCCTTAAAGCAGCAAAGCATTGATTGCCTTATTTGTTGATGCCTCCTGCAGGGCAACATCACTGAGATGGATTGTGGAGCTGTCGTTTGGTGCCACACTAATTAGAGTACAGTTTTGAGATATGATTTTATAATGGAAAACACAAACATGGAAAACGTTGATGAAAATTTCTTCTTTAAATCAAGTGGTAACGATTTTTGTGGACTTTTAAGTGAGACAATTTATCCTAACCCCCAACCAGCCCCTGACCCAGTGCTATGTTGAGTGCAGAGCCACCTGTAATGCAGCATTTTAACTCAAGAGAAAATTCAACTGTGTAAATGTAAGGGGTGGGCATAGTAGCAAGGGACCAAGAGGACTCAGCTGCCCACTTGTTGAGTTAGTGGACTTGCTACTCGGTGGCCACTTCGAGGTTAGCCTGAACACTCTTTAAATCCATGCAAGATTGTGAACAGGCTAATTTTATTGGAGAACGCTGACTTTGGGTGTGGGTTTTCGGTTGGTTTGTTTATCTTGTTTTTTGTGAGGAGCTTTTACTCTGCTCTCGGGGAGGCACCAAGCTTGTGTTGTCCTCTAAGAATGAAGAAGCAGAAATATTAAGCAATGTTTACACCTTGTGGGGTCCCCAGGAGTCTAACACTTACACCTTATTAGAAATATTGCTGCTTTTTAAAAATTAGCTCAATTCTACCTGCGTCCAGCAGAGGGGCTGGTGAAGATTAGGGTGGTGAGAAGAAAGATTTCAGAGGTACTATCCGGTCAGAAGAAAGCAATGAAACAGCAAAAGATGGCGCAGGAGAAACAGAGGAGACAAACAAAAACACTCTCTAATTAGTAATCTATTCTTGGATATTGCTAGTAGGTCAGAAATATGAAAAAGAACCTCCTAAATAACTTTTCTCTAAGGATCTCAGCCCCAAGGAATGGTTGCCTGATAGTGGAGATCAAGCTCCCTCCCTGCCACCCACCTGTCATACTCACCCAGGCCACACTTAATCTTCATCTACTCTACTGGAACATTTCTGCAGACCAGAGAGACAATTCTCAGACTCCAAAGCCGATGCAGTCTCTTTCAATGTCCACATCCACCTTCTCCACTCACTGAGAAATGAATGTCGTTGCTCTTCCAGAGGCTCCTATCAAACTTTGAGTTATGTTGAGACCTGCCATGGTTTTTAAAAATTTTTTATTTGTTTTCCATGACACACCCTCCAGAGGTCCCAAGGACATGTGCCCTGGTTCTTTATGTAGACACTGAAGAAGAGTGAGAAGCGGGCAAAAATGTTTTTAATGTCATCTCTGTGTTCCTGGGTAAATAACTTAACCTCCTCACATCTTGTCTATATGGCTATAAAATTGCAATGATAATACTATGTGTCCTGGGATGGTATGGCTCCTGTGAGATACTGGCTGTAATAACTGATTCATTAGGACTGGAGCCAGGACACAGGAGTACATCTGGAAATGTCAGACTGTGCCATTGCCAATTAGGAATGATCTACAGTTCTGGAGCAGCATGAGAAGAGCAACATGCTAAATAGACAGCTGTATTGTGCTGAGCCAGAAAGGAGACAAGACATAATCCAAAACAGGGCTCAGTAGATCAGAGACTAATTAAACTAGATAAACTAAGGCATCACAAGCCAAGATGAGGCTAGAAGCAAAGAGAAGGCAGGGAGGCTGAAGCAGGAGGTTCAAGCAAGAGCAGGTGGAAACGAAGCAAAGACTGGAAGACAGTGTTAGTGTAGGATGAAGCTCACAGATGCTGAGATGGGGGACAGTTATGCTAATGAAAGTTTATCTTGGGGACGTAATCTCATAAGAGTCATTCTGTAAAAGGTAACACTCTAGTTAAATGTAGTTGTAGACTATGTTATTGCTTGACAGTATTCCACGTTCCTTCCTAAGAAAAGATTATATGTCTTAGCCTTTTAAATCTAGATGTGATCATGTGATCTGCTTTATCCAATGCAATTTCAGCTACTGACAGAGTCCTTAAGAACCAGCACATGCTTTGCCATCCCCTTTTTTTTCTCTCTACCTCCTTATCTGGTAGAGTCCAGTCTCTCGGTCTGGGTCTTGGAATAAAGATCACAGTGACATAGGAGCAGAGTCCCTGAATGACCTTTCATGAACAAGCAGCAAGAAAAAAAACTTTTGTGGCCAGACGTGGTGGCTCAAATCAGTAATCCCAGCACTTTGGGAGGCCAAGGCATACAGATCACCTGAGGCTGGGAGTTTGAGACCAGCCTAGCCAACATGATGAAACCCCGTCTCTACCAAAAATACAAAAATTAGCTGGATATGGTGGTGTGCACCTGTAATCCTAGCTACTCGGGAGGCTGAGGCACGAGAATTGCTTGAACCCTGGAGACGAAGGTTGCAGTGAACCAAGATTGTGCCACTGCGCTCCAGCCTGGGTGACACAGTGAGACCCTGTTTCAAAAAATAAAATAAACTTTTGTTATTTTTTGCCACTGAAAATAATATTTTTAAATCATAGCATTATCTAGCCTATCTTGTCTAACACAAATGAAGATTGCTAGTTGGAAGCTAGCAATTAATGGTTAAACCAGTTTAAACTTGTTTTACTATGACAGGCAAAGTATAACAATGATGTTGCAAGAGAAAACAACTGGAAAAAAATCCAATTACTTTGATTGTTTAGGATGATTTGTAACAGAGTGAGGTCTGTGGATAAATGTGTTACCTCTCCTAAAATCATATTCACTCAAGTGAAAAATAAATTAAGCTTCCTTCATTCTCATGTATCTTACAGCCTAACTGGAAGTCAGAATAATTACACACATACACACACACACACACACACACACACACACACACACACACACACAAATTTCACTGGATGAAAACATGTAAAAGGTCAAATTCTTTTCTAAATTCATTTTTTATTGAGGTAAAATACATAAAACTTACCACTCTTACTATTTTTAGTTATATTGTTCAGTGGTAAAAATTCATTTATATTATTTTTTCTTCCTTCTTTCCTGCCCCGTCTCCTTCTTGGCCTCTGGTAACCACCAGTCTACTTTCTATCTTGATGAGATACATGTTTTTAGCTCCCACATATGAATGAGAACATGAAATATTTGTCTTTTCGTGCTTGATTTATTTCACTTAGCATAATGGCTTCTAGTTCCATTCAAGTTGCTGCAAATGATAGGACTTTCATCTTTTTTTTTAATGACTGAATAATATTCCATAGTATATATATATATATGCAGTATTTTCTTTAGCCATTCATCTGTTGATGGTCACTTAGACTGACTCCATGTTTTGGCTATTTTGAATGGTGCTGCAATAAACATCAAAATGCAAATATCTCTTTGATATATTGATTCACTTTCTCTTAAATATATGTTCAGTAGTGGAACTGCTGGATTGTACAATAGTTCTATTTTTAGTTTGTTGAGGAACCTCCATATAGTTCTCCAACGTGGCATTTACATTCCCATAAACAATGTATGAGGATTCCCCTTTCTCCACATCCTAACCAGCACTTGTTATGGCCAGACTCGGCCACTTAGCTGCTATTATTCAATATGATAATGAAAGTCTTAGTCAGAACAATTAAGCAAGAGAGAAATGCAGGGCATCCAAACTGGAAAGGGAGAAGTAAAATTAGCCTTGTTTGCAGAAAACATGATCTTACACTTAGAAAAAGCTAAAGACTCCACCAAAAAACTTAGTATTGATAAATTCAGTAAAGTTGCAGGACACGAAATCAACACACAAAACGCAGTAGCATTAATATGTGCCAACAGCAAATCGTTTGAAAAAGAAATCAAGAAAACAACCCCATTTACAATAGCTACAACAATTATTAATACCTAGGAATCAATCTGACCAAAGAAGTAAAAGATCTATAATGGGAAAACTATAAACATCTGATGAAAGAAACAGAAGAAGACACCAAAAAAAAAAAAAAAAGGAAAGATATTCCATTCTCATGGATTGGAATAATTAATATTGTCAAAATGACAATACTACCTGAAGCAATTTATAGATTAAATTCCATCCCTATCAAAATACCAATGGCATTCTCCACAGAAATAGTAAAAGTAATTCTAAAACTTGTATGGAACCGGAAAAGAGCCAAATAACCAAAATAATCCTGAGCAGAAAGAACAAGGATATCACACTACTTGACTTAAAAATTTACTACAAATTTATACTAAGAAAGCATGGTACTGCATAAAAAGAGACACATAGACCAATGAAACAATTGAGAACCCAGATATAAATCCATACATTTACGAACAACTCATCTTGAACAAAGGTGCCAAGAACGTATAATGGAGAAAGAATAGTCTTTTCAATATATGTTGCTGATAACTGGATAATTATATGCATAAGAATAAAACTAGACCTATACCTCTCATCATGCATCAAAATCGAATCAAAATGGATTAAAGACATGAAAAAAACAATGAGGAAATGCTTAAGATTTTTTTCTTTTTGCATAGGACCCCAAAAGCACAGGAAACAAAGGAGAAATAGACAATTGAAATTACACCAAGCGGAAAAGCTTCTGCACAACGAAGGATGCAATCAACAAAATGAAGAGACAACTCACAGAAAGTGAGAAGATACGTGCAAACTACCCATCGAACAAGGGATTAATAACCAGAGTAGGCAAGAACCTCAAACAACTCAGCTGCAAAAAAAAAAAAAACCAAAGTCTGATTTAAAAATAGGCAAAAATATGAACAGATATTTCTTAAAATAAGACATACAAATGGCTAATAGGTGCATGGAAAAATGCTCAGCATCACTTACCAGAGGGTCCAATTCTTGCCATTATAGGAGTTCAGTGTGTCTAAAAATACCAAAGGTACAAGGTTGATGAGTTTTGTGATTGTGATTGTGGTATTATTATTACTATTTTACTGTTACTTTTGTGGTGTTAGATATCAGAAAGACATAAAAACAGGATTTGACAGAAATTGCAAAAATATGTTCTACTCTTTGTTGTATTTACTTTCCTGAGCCACATAGTCTTTCAATTGACAATACTTGAAGGGAAACACTTTGGAGAAATTTCTTGTTTTGGGGGTGATGGGACTACAGAATAAGGAGGGTTAAAAAAGAGACGCAAAAAACTATACCAGACAGAGAGACAAGTTGCAGATTTCATCCCTAGAGGGAAACCGAAACAGAGCCCTAGAAGCCAGAGAGAGAGCTCATCTCAGGGCATAAAGGCTAATTCTCAAAGGCAGGGCCAGGGAAAAGGTGACCATTTAATGATGAATGGCCCAGTGTGCCATCCTGACTTGGCCTAGGAGCGTGGGTATGTGGATGAAGTGGTCTTGGATGAAGAGACTTTTCTTCATCCTTTTCCCAGTTGCAAACAGCTCTTCTTGGATTACACATTAGTGATCCATAGTTCACTGAATATCATATTGGCATTTGACCCAACCCCTGCAGCACGAATCGCAGGGCTATTGACAATACCTAATGTTCATTTTTCTCAATTGACCCAACATCCACTTTTGAATTAAGAAAAACATTGAGGCCGGGTGCGGTGGCTCAAGCCTGTAATCCCGGCACTTTGGGAGGCCGAGGAGGGTGGATCACGAGGTCAAGAGATCGAGACCATCCTAGTCAACATGGTGAAACCCCGTCTCTACTAAAAATACAAAAAATTAGCTGGGCATGGTGGCGCGTGCCTGTAATCCCAGCTACTCAGGAGGCTGAGGCAGGAGAATTGCCTGAACCCAGGAGGCGGAGGTTGCGGTGAGCCGAGATCACGCCATTGCACTCTAGCCTGGGTAACAAGAGCGAAACTCCGTCTCAAAGAAAAAAAAAAAAAAAAAATTGAGAACAAAAGCAAGGACCCTTCATAAAAGCAGTGTTGAAGGCCATTCTCATGAGGATGAAAGGAAATAGAAGCAAGACTTGGCTAATATCTGTTCTGTCTCAGGTTTTTTTAAAAGTACTATTCTCGAGCATTTCAAATGAAGAGTTGCTTTTTTCACAAGCTCTTTGAAAATTGTTTCTGAATTGTATCCAGTTACTACTAATTTACCATCCAGCCTTTTCACCTTTGTGTTAGTAAAAAACACTGAACGTGTTTAAGTATTTGCTATTGCATTTGTAAGTATATACAGTTGTAAAAATAAATTAATAAGGGACACAGATTTTTTAGATTAAATATGTGTAGTGTTTCAGCCAAACAATCATTCTAAAAAGATTTTATTCTTCAAAATTTGAAAACAAGTACATTCAGCCTTTTATTAGATCACCAATTTAAAAATTACATAATTTTTTACATAAATACATAATTATACAATATCACATAATAAATGTGATATTCTGCTACCCCTAATGACATATAATCTACTACATAGTTTTCTTCAAACATTTCTGAAATGTAATGGGGCATAAATATATACACACATAAGTAAATGAAAAATAAATAATGAAATAGAAGTTAGCTATATAAATGAATAAACAGCTAGCACATATAAAAACAGATCATGTCTGCCTGCTGTGGAAAAACCAGGAAAGTAGTTTAGATTTTATTGCACTGCATGCTATTACAATAAATTACATTTTAAGTGTACATAAGTTGTTTGAGGAAGACAAAGAAAGATTAGTTTTACTTATATGCAAAGCAGACCATAACTCTAGAGGGAAAACTCTGAATGTTCTAGAAGTGCCCTGTCCTCAAAAAATCACCCACTCATTTGGTGTTGGTACCTAAAATGCTATTATATGAGATTGGTTGCCTTGGTTAAAGGTGAGGTTTTTATTTTTTAATTGTTTGCCCACACTATGTTGATATTTTTTGCAAAGTGAAATAGCGCATAGTTAGCCAATATGCACATGGTTAAATAATCAAATTGCATAAAAGGGTTTATAATGAAAAGCAGCAACCCTATGCACTTCCTCATCTAGCAGGTCTAAACTCAATCAATGCTGACATTCTCTGTGATGTTCTGACTATCATAACTGGTAATTTAGCTCAATCTTGCCACCACCTGTCCCAACAGCTATATCAGGATTCCTGACCCACTGGCTGTCTCCACAGCCTTGGAATGTGATGGGTCATTCATTTGTTCGTGGGGTTTCCACCTCTCCCTAATTTAGCCTCACTTCTTCCTAACCGGACTTTCCAGCTGGGTAGTCACTCCCCTCTTCAGCTGGAGCTGCCTTGGCATGTTTTCTAAGCTCTGTCTTCATTCAGCATTCCTCCATTCATTTTCCCTCTCCCAAAAATAGACCAAGCTTCTCTTTGCCTCTCGTTCTATTCTGTTGTCTTCCTCCTATGGGCTTTATTCCAGTCATTCTTTACTACCACTTCAATGGAAGGAAACAAGAAGAGGGAGAAAGGAAGAGAAGAAAAGATGCATGTATTTTGAATGGGAATTCCAGGCAGAGTTTCTCAATGCGGGGCATATACATTTTACCTTTTTCTAAGGGTGGGTCCATGGATATAATCAGTTTTTCATGGAAGTCTGTGATATTCAAAAGATTCTTTCCCATTTTTGATTATTTGGCCATAATTAAACTGCTTATCATGGCCAAATAATCAAAAAGGGAAAAAAATCATTTAACTTTATAATTTTTCAAAGTGTAGACTTTATATGCTCTACGTCATTAATCATGTAAGTTTCTTACTCCAAATACAGGTTTTTGGCCTTACTGAATTAAATTATCTGGGCCTAGCTGCCCTTCCCCCCTCCATCTCCTGGCCAAATATGTATGCTTAACAAGCTCATAAGGTAATTTAATATTATATATAACAGAAATATAGATGATTTATAATATTTACATCCTGACTATACATAAATATGTAATATATATATTATTTACAGGCAAAATTATAGATGATAGGCCTCATACCCAAGTTTGGAGGAGATAGATATAATCTTAATATCTGCCTATTTTAATAATATATTACATAACTGAAACTCTCGATTGTCCCACTGAAATTTTGAAATATCTATAAAGTTGAATTTTTTTGCAAGCAGCATTTAAGTACATCATCTAGAAGATGTAGCATCGAGGCAGCTTAAATTTGCATTCAGATTTACCACATTCTCAAGCCTCCACCATTCTACAAGTATAAATATCAGAAATGAAAATCGGTTTTTTATGATTTTTTTAAACAAGCATTTTTTAACAGCTTCATATGATTTTTTTTTTCTCCTCTGGGTGTTTTCAAAATTGACTTATCAGTGGAAAGATTTTCGGTTCCAGAATTTTGTTAGGTATTAAAGTCAAGCTAATAGGTCAGCTATTCCCAGGTACCTTCTATTTCATTTTCTTGGTTATCCTAATGTTCTAAGCTGCTCAGTCCTCAAACTGTTCATGCAGTGGTTTCCTTTCTAAAATGTGGCTGTTGAACAGAAAAAGAACAGTTCCAAAATGACAGCATAAAAATACAGAAGGATGATTTGTATAAAACTCTAATTGGCATTTTGTATGACATTTTAAAGGCATTAAGTATTTCAACCCATTAAGGAAATTGTTATTATTGTACAAGTCACTTTAAAAGAATAAATTTACCCACCAGGCTGTTAAAGCCAAAGTATTTCCTTTGAACAGTGACTAATCCATAGTGATGTCCTTATACTTTTATACTGTAATTAGAATTGATAACTTAAATGTTGCAAATATCGCCTCTAAATAGAACTGCTGCTGTGTATTTTGTGAAGTTGCTCCTTCTTAGGGTTGGAGATCAGCTTTTTTGGCAGCGTGATTCATTTCCTGGTTATATGCTTTATTGTTCTGACTTATACAGAAAAGGCTAAACAAAATTTTGTAGGGCAATCTATAATCCTCAAAAGTATTCAATTCTGTCAGTGTTTTTTTCTTGCACATACATTTCCAAGATGTGTTACAGCATTGTTTCTCATCTTTATTTGGAGTACTTCTCTCTTCTAGACTTATCAGCTACTAATAGAGCATTTAGCATAACACAGATGTGATGTATACAGAAATGCATTCAAGAAAAGATCAAACGCGGAGGCTACCAATCTACAACTGGACTTTAACCTGCTTGCTTTTAATAACTCTTAAATACAGATCCCAACTTATAGGCTTGGTGTGAATATCATTAAACCTTTCCCACTGTTCCCTTAAGCTTTGAATGTTCACTGATCTGTGAAGATAGCTGAGTGGATAAATAAACTTAGACCTGACAAACCAGAGAGATATTAGAAAGAGAGCTAATCTTGTCTTTAAAAAAAGAGCTTTATGTTACCTGATAAATTGATTTTTTAAAAACAAGAAGACAGAAATAAAAATAACACACATAAACTGGCTAGCACTTTTTTTAAATGAATTAAAAACTGGTGGGGTTATTAACATGTATCCTAGCCTGCTTGTCTTTCCACCCTCATTTCCCATTTTCTGGTAGTTGCATAAATTTCATCTGGCCTGAACCCCAGAGTACAAAAGAGAGGATATGAAGAGAGAGGGCCCCAAGCAAGGGAGAGGGGCCCTGGGACTGAGATGCACATTCCCGCCACTAACTTTAGTCCATATATTCTTTTTCTGAACCTTCCTTGCAGTGAGTATTCAGCTGTGCCCAATGTTGCCAAAAAGCAAGGAAGATGAATACTGAAAGGAATCTTTGGCTTGAGGCCACCAGAAGCCACTGGTGACCTTGTGAAACCAGGTCCTATAGAAAGGTGAGGAGACAGTTCAGATGTCTGCTGGGTGAGCCGTGAAGGTGGAGGTTGGGAAGGTTAGGAATTTAGTGGAAGTGGGCCAGTCTGTCAAGAATCTCAGCAATCATCGCTAGAAGTGGAGCTCCTCATGGCCCTGTTCATCAAGGAGCCTCCTAGAGTTGTTCAGTGCACAACATGAACAAACAGAAGCCAAGACCTAGTATTCGTATTGTTTATTCTCTGCAACACCTAACACAGAACATATCTGACACTGAGAGATCATGAATAGTCCCTGGATAAATGAAAGTAAGAACATACACAAAGGAAGGAAGAAAAGATTTTTACAAAAAGTCTAGTGATAAAAACCATGTTTATATTTTGAAGGTTATATAGAGTTTTTGTTCAATTTTATTTTGAGGATTAGGCAGAGTTAGAAAGAAACACAATAATAATATAACACAGCCTTGTCCTGGCATAAAGACTGATGGCTCATAGAGTCTTTTTTTCAGATCCATTATCTATTTCTTCATGGAAAAGTGCATCATAGGACATTTAGGAAAGAACTGTAAATTAAAGAACATTAAAGGTGAGGCTTGAAATCAGAATGTAGAAGTTCTTAAAGTAGATTTCTAACTAATATTAACTCTTGATGTTGTATCATTAAACATAAAGACTAAATGACACCTGGGAGTGGCACTGGGATCAGAATTGTTAAGTAGAAGCATATATAGCCACGTATACATCATGAAATCATCCTGTTTCATCACAATTTCCTGTGTATCTGAGCTGTGTACAGCTCGGTGTAGTATTCTAGGCTTCCTATTTAAAGCTGCACCAGAAAGCAGAATTTTAAGAATTCAGAGAAGAGATGCAAAGATTATTAAAGACAAAAGAAATAGGATCTACGTTAAAATGCTCACATGGATTTTTAGTAAACCCTTATTCATCGTTTTAGAATTCATGATGATTCACATAATGTAGCTGCATAGGGGGAAGGACTAATTTTAATAATTCCAATTATAATTATCTTTAAGAAGAGAGATTTAAATTTGGCTCCAAGCATAACACCAGATCTTCATCAAATACTCTTTGGTTTATCTAGATCGGCCTTCCTGAAGGGAAAGGGCATTCTAACAAAATTTTGTAGTAGTTAATGCCTGACTTTTTGCAGCAAGGACAGAATGAAAAGATGAAAAGAAACGCGCCAACCCATTTAGACTAAGTAAGCAGCAGAGTAGTTCATTTAAACAGAGTTTGTCAGAGGAAGTTATGGAATCTACTTCCCTGGAGAGTTTTAAAAATAGGCCAGGCACTCATCTCTCTGGGATGGTTTCAGCCTGCAGAGTGGCTAGAGGACAGCCCCAGGCCCTCTCAGGTTCCCTTCTGCCTCTACCAGTCTGTAGATTAAAACAATATCTGAGAAGGCCTCTTTGGGAGGGCAAGATACAGTCACCCAGGCCCATGTCTAACTACGATGTTTTCTCACCACATGGAATGATAAGTATAGGAGGAAGGGTGGGGTCAGAAAGTTTCCTCAACCACACTCTGTTGGCATTACCAAGACAGGCACTCCCTCTGCCAGCACTGACTGAATGCCAGAGGGATGCCAGTTAGTACAGGATGATCATGCTCGGTTGGATTTCATGTGTCACATTGTCTTAACGGTATGTGGTGCATGTGTGTCTGAAAATAGGGTAAGTAAAATGATTTGGAAAGAAAATTCAGTTAAAAGTTAGGGAAACAAATGGGGTAAGAATCTGCATGTTCTCTTAGGTTAGACTAACATCAAGCATTTGATCTTAACATTTAGCATCTGATTTGAAAGTTTCTTTTTGGGTGTGAGGCCTATTCTATCCAGGACTGTGGTCTGTTGTCAGCAGATGGGGTTTTCCTCTTACAAAATGAGCTTGGTTCCAGCTTCCTAGAGCTGCTGGGTAAGAGCCGGTTGCTCACCAGAGCTAAGGAGACAACATAGCTGACAGGCACAGTTAGAGGCAGCTTTAAATATCACACACCCCATCATTTGGTGGGTGGGTGTGTTGTCGCTAACTGTACTTCCACTTCAACAAAGCAAGTGGTGAGTTGCCAAAAAACAAGGGGGCTCCGTCTTAAGCATCATGCTGAATTCTTTTTAGAGAGGTGGTTTTTCAATGAAGAATTTTATCCTAAAATGTTTTCCAATTTTATTTAGGAAATTTATTTATTTATCAAAGGAAAGTAATTTAAGCATTGTAGCAGGTAACTAGAATCTGTAGAATGAGAACAGCTTTCTCTAACAAAAAGCTATCTTCTTTATTCGTTGAGTGGTCTCAGGTGGCCTGTGTGAGATGGGGCTTTGCCAGTGCCACAGTTATGCAGGCTGCTCAAAGAGACACAAAACCTGGCAATCTACTGCCCAGCTAATTTACAAACAGGTGACAGGCGGTGAAACTATGATCTTGTTCTTTTTAAATGGTTCTTTCCTCCCCATACATGCTGCTTTTTGGAAAGGTCACTTTAGTTTTCTTTAGGAAAATGAGTCTTTCTTCTTCTCCCAAATGCTAAATTGATGCCCTTCCCCAGAAGTCTTCCTATTAATTGAGTTGGTCTGAAGGTCATCTACTATAATCAATATGAAGCGTGGCTGCAAGGTGCTAATTGACACCCCCAAAGAGGAATAATGTCAACAATCAATAGAGAGGAGGGAGCACTGGTAGATTTATGGTTTTGATTTTGAAAAGATATGGGAATGCCCAGTGATGTTTTCCCCCGTACTCCTTTTGAATGTTAATGCTTTCTTGAAGATGATTTCAGACACACTGCTAGGATACTGCCTCTACTCACTGAAGCAGAATCCTCTGAAGAGTTGCTGAGGCAGAACTGAAATCATGGCTCACCTCAAAGAAGCAGCAGTATTGGCCGTTAATGATGCCTCACACAGAAAGACGGTGCTCCTTTAACTGGGGGTTTTAATGGGAAGTTTCTAAGCCTGAAACAACAGCTTTAGACCTGGGGTGTGCCATCAGCTGCCTTGCAGCTACCACTGTCTACTGCTTTCACACGGCGTGGTCGGGAAGAAAGGAATCTAAAGAGGCTCGTAACTACCTGTAACTGTTCCACCAGGACATGGATCAAGTATGTATTCGGCCAGAGCCAGGTACTTGACCCAAACTGTATCTTTGATAGGCTAATTAAATGCTTTTCTCTAACTTTACAATTGATGCATGAGCAATCATCGCATAGATGCCTTTCAGACCCAAGTTCTGAATTTAGATCTAGTTGTTAGATAAGTCTAATTAAACAGTTGGTAGCTAAAGTTAAGAAGAGAGGGGGTTAAATGTAATGATGCATTTATTTTTAAAGCATGCTTAAGTTTGTAATGTTATTGATACTGAATGAAGTAAGTAGTAAAGCAGGCTTTTTTCTTTCCTAAGCTGCAGTAATTGATTCCTGAAAGCCGTTTGCCCATTATTTAATTTTATTTTTTATCAGTCACCTAAAACATCCAACCTTCCAAAATGTAACAAGGGTGCTCTGATTTGTTTACAAAGGATCACAACTCAACAACTCATATTGATAGTGTTGACTGTCCCTGGCTGATAAACTGTGTGTAGCACTAGCCTTTTGAGGTATCAGCAAGTAGCCGTTTTCACTATGAAACACACAAAGAAAGACAAAGAAAACCAGACGGAGCAGTAGGGCTTATTGTTTGAAGTTAAAAGTTCCAGTTTGCTAAGGATGCCTTTCGATAACCACCAGCTCCTAACCGGGCACCCTCATGGTGTTTTCTGATGTTCTCAGGCAGCAGCAGCCTTGCCCTGCAGTCCCTTGAAAATTCCTCAAGCAGATATTAAGAGGAAGATGAAGATGGGGGAATAAGTACAGCTGAGATTGAGGTTCAGGCTGAAAAGAAAGGTCTCCTGCTGACCCAGAGCTTACCAGCAGTAGTGAGTTGAGAATAACAGGGTCCACTCCCAGCCCAAGCAGACGTGTCTGCAGGCTGACTTTGCAGGAACAAGCAGAGAACAGATTTCCTAGTGCAGCAGTGGGGGCTGGCAACAGTTCTGAAACTGCCTGTTGACATTTGTAGCTGAAGACATTCTTGTGTTTATAAAATCATTGTTTGTAGGCTTTCTAGCAGACTTGAGTCTATGTTTTGAGAGTATAAAATAATATTTACCCTTAGCCCTCCTGTGAATTTTGAAGCATCAGGGCTATTGTATTGGAACCGAAGGGCTGTACTTGGAAAAAAATACATAGACATTGCCATGTATTTAAATGAGCCTAAAATAAGGGGAGTGGGAGGATTTAAAATCTGTGAAGCACCTAGAAAGAGCCAGGAAATCTTTACCTGAAGTTCTTGGCTGATAACAAATAGGGCGATAAATTCTTTGAATTTATATGAAATATTTTGTATCTTTGTATGTATATCTGGAACACAAGTTACTGTTCAATAAAATAATACACAGAATTTCTGAAAGATTGGTAAGGGAATAATATTTGCTTATGTGGTGATTCCATTGCTTAGATAATGAGGTGGCTTATGCAGATGGCTCACAATTGTGGTGGGGATGGATAACAGGATCACTTGGGAGATTTACACGTCTAGAGTGGGTAAGTGGGTTGGAGAATGAAATGTACTTTCAGAGACTACAGTTATACAAACAGGAATGCAGCCCAGGCTTCCTTTAGCGCTAAAATTAGAGAGGGATTCTATTTAGGCTCGGTATCAGGATATGTCTTACTTTAATCATTCAAAGCCATGTTAACATTTCAACAGTTAACTTCAGAACTGTTGCAGAATAATGCAGTATTTTGAGTAAGTTTGTCTCTGCCAGTCACTGCAAATTCAGTCCTGCCTAGCTAGACAATTCCATTCCTGTTAAAGTCTACAGATTGGTATTGTTAGTCTGTCAGGTAAATATAAATAATGTTCACAGGATATCTTTGTAGGATAAAGTGTCCCGTCCGTCACACGGGAATGGAAACCGGGCAAACCTGTGAGGGTCCTTATTCAATGGCTGTTTTGACATCTACTTCTGAAACCACGTCAAGCCACATAACTAGGTTTCTGACCCAGAAGTTTTAAAAATTAGTTACTACAATAATGTGGTTTAGGAGTACTTAAAATACAGACGGCATTGCTTCACTGTGCCCTACAGGCCATTAACACCTAAGGAATGACACCTTCAACTCATTCCACCATGCCAGTGAAAAACATGGGATCTGACATCCTTGGGAGGGGTGGTGCTACCTTTGTGGTAACTGGTTTTTATAATTCTGGGCAGTTTATAATTTTCATACCTTAGTGTGATTGATCACATAACGGAAATGAAAAAATAAGTATCATTTTGCACAAAAATGGTGTAAAGAGAAAATACTCACTCATCCCCACCTATTTATCAAACTCCCACTGTGTGCTAGGCAGAATTACAGAGGTACTGTAACTATTAGTATTGTCATTGCACCCTGTTACAAAAGGGTGGGCCTTGAGTTGATGACCTGTAGAATCAATGCCTGTGTGTGGCTCCACGGAACAAGGTGTCCAGTGCACTTAAGTAATTCTGTTGCTGTCACTTTAAAAAAAAGAAACATGTCATTGCTTTCAGATATATTTTCTTCAGAGAAAATATTTTTCCTTACTGTGAAATTGTATAATGAGATGCTAATGAAATAAAATGTCCAAGGGATCCGAGCCTGAGAAGGGTACATGTTGACATTAATAGTTTCCATGTAAGACATTTGGATTCAGAATATTTTAAATGGCTGCCCTTCCCCACCAAAAAGTAGATTCGGTAAGAAAGAATTGACCTATTAAATAAAAGCGTAACTGTCCATCTCTGGCCGATTTTTATATTTCAGATCCCACCCACCAACACTGAGGCCAAAAAAAATCTAAAGGGCCAAATAACTTATGGCTCCTCAAATTACAAGATCTGTGGGTTTTAAAGTGTCATTGTGACTTGAACTAGCTGTGATTCTTTCAACCAAGACTTATGTCAAATGTGATGGTCCAGCACCTCAGTCCAGCCGGATGACACGTGCTTTTGTTTTTCCTCTCTGCATCAGTTAGCTGTCACCTCTAATTTTGAATTCAGTTCCCTGGACTGTAAGGGGTCGGAGATTTGACTCAGCCTATATTTAAAGAGGCAATGATCCCAGGACAGCAAAGAATTCCTCAAGGAGCTTGTTGTATAATAGGGAGGAGATAAACACCATCAAGACTTTCACTGTAATCAGTGCTGCCACAGAGCACAGGTGAAGTCTCTGGAGATGGACTTCTTGGTGAAGGGAGACAAGGAAGGCCCCACCAAGGAGGGCGTATTTGGTGTGAACTCTAAGGGAGAAAGAGATGGAAACAAGGAGAGGAAAGATGCTTGCCTCATTATGCTTGCCTCCTCTCCTTCTTTCCACAGATGGAATCTTTCCAAGCATTATGAGGTAGGAAACCTGGAGGTGTTCAGAGCACAGCAGGTATTAGATCAAGCTGAAAAGCAGACAAAATGAGGACATTCTCTGCAGGTGTCCACAGACTTAGTTACATGGAAGTTTATTCTGATCAACACATTTGCCATTTTACTGAGAACTAAATGTGATTTGGCTCCTTTCTTTTTTTTTTCTTCCTCTTCTTTTTTTTTTTTTTTTTTTTTTTGAGATGGAGTTTCGCTCTTGTTACCCAGGCTGGAGTGCAATGGCGCGATCTCGGCTCATGGCAACCTCCGCCTCCTGGGTTCAGGCAATTCTCCTGCCTCAGCCTCCTGAGTAGCTGGGATTACAGGCACGTGCCACCATGCCCAGCTAATTTTTTGTATTTTTAGTAGAGGCGGGGTTTCACTATGTTGACCAGGTTGGTCTCCATCTGTTGACCTCATGATCCACCCTCCTCGGCCTCCCAAAGTGCTGGGATTACAGGCGTGAGCCACCACGCCCGGCCACATTTGGCTCCTTTCTAAACTTATAAAAATAAAAACTCAGATCTTAAAAATTCTACTGTCAGAGTAGTTTCTAATTTGTGGTCCAGAAAACATCTGGGCATCAGGCCCACAAGGGGGTTAATGGGCTGTGGACACTGGGATGCAAAGGTTTTCTGAGGGGAGGAGTGGTGAGATCTGGGCTTAGGAAGATGAATTGAGATGCAGGCTGTAGGAAGTATGGGCAAGGGAAGAGGAAAGCCACTTTGAAAATACTAAAACTAAAGTGAGCTAAGAGTGTGAATGACGGTGGCTACAATGACTGCTCCCGCTGGGCTTCATAAGTAATTAATGGGTGTCTTCTGTTTTTGCCAATATCCCAAGGGAGCTTGACTGGAGCAAAGAAATGTATTATATAACTTTTGCAAATGGTATCTTTTAATTAAAGTTTTCTTTAATTTTTCAGTATTGAAGTTAGACTTTATTTCCTGAGCACCCACAAATGGACCTGACAAAGGGAAGGCACAGATGTTCTATATGATGGGGAAAGCCTTTCAGGATTAAAATACAGCTGTGAGTAACTGTGGTCTTTCTTTATACTTAAAATAGCTGCCATGTGTTATGAAGATTTCTGATGGTTGTGTCAAAATCCTTTGGAATAATTGACTTGTACAGACTTCCCTGGTCATCTAAAAGAAAGATGTCATTAGTAACCTTGCACATTTTCTAAGAATCATTTTTACCAAAAAGGGACATTTTACTCCAAGACAGACATTTAAAAAATTTATATGTCTTGGGATATTTTTGTATTGTGGTAGCAAAATGATTACATGTATTGCTTTTTAACCATGTTATGGTAGCTGATGCTTCCTTTAATTTATGCATGCTGTTGAGCTTTCTAAATTGGTAAATTATTGATTAGCTGATCGGATGTTTAACATCAGGCAGGCTCTTCTAGGGATTTCAATCAGTCCTGAGCAAAATTGTGAAATAGCATTTGTTTCTGGATCTCTTTATCCCTTTAGCAATCACCTCCTGATCGTCACCCACCATCCCTTATCCCTCCCCCAGGGCTCTCCAGTGGGTCCCCTGCTCACACCACCATACCTGTCTTCTGTCCTATCCAACAGTCCCTCATTCCCAGCAAGATCTTCCTTCAATCACCTTTCTACCTACCACATGTCCTCCTCCAGGAGGGAACAGTCCTCACAACTTCCTGCTAACACATTAATGTGCCACGTTCCTAGGTAAAATACTGCAATTTAATAGGAGATGACAGTTTGACCAAAAGCAGTTATTTTTATAGGAACTTGGGCACCACAGTTTGCAGGGGGAGGTGAGGTTTACCACTCTCAATGTGCTACAGAGTTTTAAAAATTCTCTCACCTGTATTTGCTCATTAACTTGGTAAATCAGGAAAGGTATGGTGATGAAGACATTGGAGAATGTACATTTTAGGAGGCTTCTCAATGCAAAGAGGGCTAACCCTTCCTTTGTACCTTGGCTTTTAATCAGTTGAGGATGGTAAAACTGCAAGTTAAAACTGATTTTGAAAATCATTCTAGTAGTTGGCATCCTAGTGCAGAATCTGAGCCCCCAAGTCATTCCTAGGGTGATTAAAGAGGCAGATATGGCAGGTGATCTGAATCAGGATAAGTTATTTGCTGGAGTTTCTGGAATGGTTGCCCACCACTGCAGCCCCAAAATGAATGGTTTGCTTGCTCTAAATCCTGAGTTGTGGGTGAAGCCTAGAAAGTATGAGAGTTGATCCAGGAGAGAAGGATTTGGCATTTGCCCTGTATGGAAGAGAAGGCTGGGGAGGACTGCTCCCGGGGTCACAATGTTGCTCATCAAGTGGAGACCCCAGTGGGGAAGGGAGGGACAGAGCAAGGTATGGCTGCACCAGTCAGCCTGCTAGTGCTGAGGAGGTCATTCTCAAGGACTCAAAAGGTTCTCTATCTAGTTCTTCCTTGATTTTTTGGATTTCACAGATCCAGAAACTCTTATGTCAACTTATACAGATAATGGTCTTTGCTCTTTGTATATTTCCTTTTTGGATTATGTGGTGTTTTCCTAAAGAACATTCTGAAAATGCATACCTGTCTCAGCTCTGTTGAGAATGGACAAACAACAGGACTCGGCCTCATTTGGGGCTGGAGGGAAAAAGGACATGGAACGAGATTCTGGTAATCCAGCGAGGAGAGCACGGATCAAAGTGAGAGGATCCTCAGCAGGACATGAAAAAGAAAGAGGGAGTATACCAGGAATGGCCTCAGCGTCTGCTCCTCTGTCGTCAGCAGGGTTTCCTTTGGCTCAGCCCTTGGAGAATTTTATAATCCATCTGATTAAATATGATTTGGATATTTTTGGTGGGCACAGGTGGCCCTGGTCTGAAGTACTGAGGAGACCTGCATTGGAGGCTCTGGCCTCCCCTCCCTTCCTGGCCTTCCCGGCCTGGCCCATGAGGAATTAATACCCAAGGCTGGGAGGGTGCTTAGAAACAAGCAAACCAAAACAAAACCCAGTGCATTCACATCTTCTAAATTCCTGAAGAGCTTATTTATTAAAAATGCGTCAAAATTTTATCCCAATCTTATTTCAGAACAAACATCAATTATAAATGAGTTTTGCAACTGTTCCAGACTTTAAAAAAAATTCAAAATGATAAAGCTGCAAAAATGATGCATTACCCTCGAATTAGTAACGCCTTCCTCCCAGATTCTAACTGTGATCCCCCTTATAAACTGTTTTCTAAACTGTGATTTTATAAACTTTGAAGTGTCCATATGCATTCAAGCTGTTATATTGTGATTACTAGTGCTGTACTTGAAGTCAATGATTCTAAGTTAACTGAAGAAATATTGTGTTGATGCTTTAGGTCATATATTTTATTTTTATAGCTAATTACTGCTATGTAATTTTCCTTATAAACAAATTCATAACAAATGTCATTTAATTTTCTGTAGTGTCTAATGTATATGCTTTTGTTTACAATGTGATTTAAGTAGATTTAGTTCAGTATCTGAAGCTTTTAATAACCTTTGCGTAAACTTGTCGTTTATATAATTGCATTTTATTATGGTAATACATACTTGTATTTGGATACAGTATTACCTATATATCTTAAGTTTTTCTACCAGTAAAATTAAAATAGTGTTTGCTTGTCCTTTTCCTTCTCTTCCTCTCTACTGATAGTCTCCAAGCCACTGTAAGAAAAACTGTCCTTTTGAAAATATGCATTGATCAATTCCTTTCCCTTGGCTTAATTCTCTAGGTGCTTCCCAGGGTCAAGTATGGAACCTGGTTTTTGTTTTCTGAGGAAAAAAGAAAAAGCAGCAGTAACTTGATAGTTTGGGAGTCTGAGATACCTCCCCTCTCCCTTGGCCCAGGCAGTAGAAAGGAGAAGCCGCATAGCTCCCTTAGTTGTATCTTAGGTGAAGTAACACTTTGCTTTGTTTGTTTTTCTTCTTTGTATCATTTTCAAAGGGTTTTCACAGCTCTTCATCCTTATTATAGCAGCATGAAAGATGCAGGCATTTCTACCTGCATTTTTATAGCTTGGTGACCTCTCCAGGGTCCCACACCCATTTTGCAGTAGAGTGGAGCCTGAGGCCCAGAACCTGATGGTCCCGGAGAGGGGTTCTCTTTTAAGAACATTTTCTAGCCTCTGTTTCCTTGCACTGCGACTACAGAGATCCCTGCTCTCATGAAGCATGCAGTAAAGTGGTTGTGAAGTTTAGCTATGGTGCTGGCACATAGCTGAGGCTCGTACTATGGCCCTATCAAGAGAACAATGTAAGAGTAGTATTAGTGGAGCAGAGCTGGAGCAGAACAATATGAGAGTAATATTAGTGGAGACTTGGCAGGCGAGTCTGGGTTCGAATGTCAAGCTGACAGCACGCCCTGAGGTCAATATTACTGTGCACATTTCTCATCTTCTGTATTATAGTTGTATTCCCTGCCCATCCCTCCTGGCCCCAGGTGGCCCTTCTGAGAACAATCTGGTAATTTCATGCAAGAGTAAAATATCTTTCCCTGTAATTATACGGAATTGAGCATCTCTGGTGAAAAAGAAATCTGGTTTACAGATTTCTCTTTCTCTTTGAAAAATATGACTGTAAGCCTAGAAAATAAGGCTGCTATTTTATAGGTATTCCCTTCCCTTCCCTTTCTTTTTCCCTGCAGATAACTCAGCCTCTCCAGGGTGCAGCCACTATGACCTCCGCAGACTGATGATGGAAGAAAAGGAAACCAGGAGATCCTGTGCTCTGGCTTCCCTGGACCATGGATGGTGGACAGCCCATCCCTTCTTCACTTGTGCCCCTTGGGAACATATCATCAGATTCTAGCATGTCTCTGGAGCAGAAAACAACATTTGTTTTTGTGATTTTGTTGTTTATTTTCTTGGGCATTCTCATTGTCCGGTGCTTCCGGATTCTTTTGGATCCATATCGAAGCATGCCAACCTCTACCTGGGCTGATGGACTTGAAGGCCTGGAGAAAGGGCAGTTTGACCATGCCCTTGCTTAGGAGGAATGGCGAAGCATCTCCTCCTGAGGAGGTGAAGTGCCTCATGTCTCGGCGAGGATTCCCTTTCTTTAGTGTTCTCAACAAATCAAATTGAAACCATATTTGGTCCCAGGACCCTAATCCATTATTCTATAAATATGCAGTTGGGTTAAAGACATTTGAGGATGTTGGAAATGGATATTTATTTAACTAACCCAACATAAGAAGGTTTAAATTTTATGTTTGCTCAATGAATGAATACTCCTGAACTTGTGTGATTGTGAAACCAAGAGCATCAATACTGACATAGATTTGCCGTCAAACAAAGCATCACCTGATCTGACTAGAGAATAAAGCTAAAAAGGATCTCATATGAATCTGGTGACAAGGCTAGGAAGAGATTTCCTAGCTCTAATTATGTCTCTGTTTTATTTCATGGGCCTCTGGGTCCTGAGAAGAATGAGGAAGATTGTGCTGAATGGACCCAAAGTAGTTACTTGTTTTCTCCTAAAGCAGGGAGCATTGGGAAGCAATGGGAGAGCTTAAAAGAGATGGTTCTGTCCTTGGTGAATGTGAGTGAGAATATCGTCTTATTTTTCAAGTGAAACTTAATTCAAAGGCTACAGAGTTTTAAAAACTACTTATCAAGCTAACTACATTCTATGTATTCATATTAATAACATGTATAGAGGTAGCTATACATTACCTAATTTACTTTTTACACAAATGATTAAAATAATAGGTTGCTAGTAAAGATTCAAGGTTTTCTTTTTAATGAAAAGTTAATTGTTTAGAGGAGATGACTTTTACAGCCTTCAGAGGAATGTGTATTCATGATTGCATATAGTCACCAAATAAAACTTTTCATGAAACAGAAATGCTTCCTCTCTTATGTCACTAGAACTAATGCACTGGGGGTGGTGCCTGGTGTTGAATACTGAGGCTTAACATTTCTCCGAGAGATAGAGAAGAAAAGAGGTAACAGCATGAAAGGTCATCTATTCATCCCTCTCCCATTTCAAGAAGGGCTCCTATAAATTGTCCTGCACAGATAAAACCAATGGGTTTTAAAACCACCAAAAAGGGAGATGTGAATACCTCTTATTACAACTTTTATTGGGAGGAAAAGCTTGTATCTAAACCAACCCCCTTAGGCTGTATTTATAATCTATGTCTTCCAATTTTCTCTTCAGCTAGTCATTACCTTTTTTAATTAAAAGAAGCACACTTCTTTAACCTATTAATTGTAAGATTTTCTTCTTTTTTCAAAGGTACCTTGTCATGTGTGTCCTCATTAATTTTTTTCTTATTTTTGTTAGAGTCACTCATGTGTTTATGGATCCCCTGCCTTGAGCCTGTAATTGCTAGCACTGGAGAGAGGGGGAAAAGACAGGGCCAGTTCTTAATGTTGAATACTCTTCTATCTTGTTGGATGGAGAATACATTTAAAAAGGCATATGACTGAATTATTGTTCAAATGACTAACATGGACCTATGGCTCTCACACCATCAGAATTATTGGAGGAGCTTAATGTGTATGCTAATTTTTATTTTATTTTTTACTTTCTATTTTTATCTGTGTTTTTTTAAGAGATGGGGTCTTCCTCTTTCTTCCACTGGAGCACAATGGCACAATAGCTGATTTTCATTATAAAAGTTGTACATCATCATGGAAAAATTTTATTAGACAATATGGAAATATATGAACAGCACTAGTCAAAATTCTACCAGCTTATGTCATCCTAACTCCTAACTCCAATTTTTCCTGGGGGTTTATTGACAATGGACATATTATTACAGCCTTTGATCAATAGGGGTTGATCCTGTAGAGTTGGGTTAGTGAACAAATGCTTCAAAATATAAAACATGAGGAAAGATGAATGTAGCCAAAATAATAAAGGAAATGTTCAGGAGACAGTGGCTCAGGTATAATTGTGCATGTTTAAGTGCTTGGCATAAAGTTTAATGTAAGTTATTAATACGAAATAAATCAGATCTTGACCTGAGAGGATGGAGGTAATTTAGATATGTGCAAAGGAAAGGAAGACAAAAAACTGTAGAATAAAGAAACAGAGGTGTGGGTATGCAGCCCCAAAACAGGAATACAGCTTGGTGGGAGTAGATAGTTTGACAGCTCCTATGGGAGCTCCTGTCGGAAGGACAAAGGCAGAGCTAGACCTCAGAGGGTCCTAAACAGAAAAATCAAGGGTGGGAGTCATTGCAGATTCACGAGGAGAAAAATGACCTAGGGAGTAGTGTGTCAGTTCCAGCTTCCGTGCCCTTCCTCAGGGCAACACTAGGATCCACTTCTACAATGGGAACAGACTGAAATAGCCACCGGCCCCCTGAGAGGTCTTTGAGCACAGGCATTGCCCACAAGTGCCACAGGGCCTCGCAAAGCCTGCTCTTCTTTCACCGCTCCCTTTATTTCCCACTCTATTTTCGTTTCCCCTTCTCAGATTACTGCTCCTTGTTCAACCTGCCCCGGCTGGCTCTCCTGCCTCCTCCCTTGCCCAGAGCAAGAGTACCATAACAAGTGAAAAAAAGCTTTGGGCTTTTCAGAGTAAATTGATCCCCCCGTAAGAAGTGCTAACTCTCTGTTTTAATTACTCTGAGCTCCTTGGAGTGAACACCTTATTCTCAAAAGATCACATAAGCCCTCTCTCTCCTGGCTTTCTGGCTAGAGGAGTTATAGCGCAGCTCTTTGCCTATCTTACAAGATATTTATAACAAGTGCAGCTGGCCTTTATGGAGTATATCTGCATCCCAGGATAGAGAAAAAAACAACCCTAGACTTTCCCAAGGTCGTTCTCTAGAATAGATCTGCCTTTTGATTCAGAAAAATGCGGCAACCTCATTCTTAGCCAGGGCTGGGAATCATAACCCTATGTTTTATTCCCCCAGAGATCTCAGGTTCTAGATCAACATCTCTCCCTCCAAGAGACCTTTTAAAATATTTTAAACACTAAGTAAAGCAAGTTTAACTTGGGTGTGAAGGAGCCTAATTTGACTCTCTTGTTAAAGTAATAAACATTTCAAGACAGACAATTGCTTTGCTATTTTTAAGGGTGAAGGCTGAGGCAAAATAAATAATTTTAGGAGGCAAAAGTTAGAGCAGATGTTTATGTATGCAGAAAAAATATATATTCAAGTTCCTTTTTTACTGGATTCATTGCACAGTGTTTTAATGAAACACTGAGCTTTTTATAATGTAAACATATTGATAAATTTGATATGATAAGAAATTTCACTTATTCACCTTAAATTATTTTTTTAAAAAGACATAATTTCAAGATGTCAACTTTCAGAATTGACATGTAAAATATGTTGAAATACAGTTATTTTAAATAAATATTCTAAGCCCCAAAACATTGAATAAAATCTAAGATGTGACTTGTGAGATGTGCATCGACCAAGAAAAATGATGTTAGATGGGTGTCTCATTTATTGATTAATCAAAAAGTTGTAGCATTGAGCCATGATATCCAGAAAGTACCCAAATGACTGTATGTGCGTATGCAATCCAGGATCCAACTGGCCTAATCCAGAATACATATATTTTTTTTGAGATGGAAAAGGAGAACCCTCTAAGCTTTGTTTGTTTCTAACAAGAATAAATGAATTATGTTCAGAGAGGGGTCTACTCTGAAGACATGAGGCTTCCCCATCTAGCATCTTGCTCTGATCAGGGAACCAAGCCCAATGTATTAGCCAGTCTTTCGTCCTTTCCAAGGTAATGTTTTTAGAATAGAGTTCCCTGCTGCATTTAGTACAGTGGAAATTTTGCCTTCAGTTTCAGTTATAAACTATATTCATGTCTTTTTCTAAAGCACCACAAGATTCTCTTAGATCCCTCCATTCCGCAGCTTTTCTCAATATCCTGATTGATGTTTCTCTACTTTCTGAGCTTCAGAGTTAGAGAAATTCCCTTTAAGCTATCTTTTAAAAGGGATTTCCACCCTTATTGTCTTCCAAGCCTTAGGACCAGCCTCAGAGCACCAAACTTATGCCAGCTTTTAAGAAAGAGGCTCTTCCTGGGTTCTTTGGAGTTTGAAAAGCGGGAAAAAAAGCATTGCTGTAATCTATTTCACCCTCCTCATTTTACATATAAAGAAACAGAGAAGCAGAGAGGTCATATGGCATGATATGGCTACTTCTCAACCTTCTGGTTGTACCTACAGGATCTTACATATGTGGTGTACAGATGAGTTCAAATAGAAGGGCCAGTTAATGAAATCATAAATAAAGATATTCATTTGTTAATTGACATGAGAGTTATAATAATCTTAATAGTCTCTTTTGGCAGGGAGGGGGGAAGACATATTTTGTTTCTGGAAAAGTCCTATGGATGATGTATTTTCTGTTGGGATATCCTGAAGCTTCAGTTTAAGTGTCTGGGCAACCAGAAGTATTTCCAGTTAGATTGTAGAGGATGCCTTCACAAATACTCTGTTTCTCAAAACACGGGATAATCAATCTAGGATAAAGATTCAAAGTTTTGTTTTTTTTTAAATTTCCAAGTAGACTTTTGAGCTGTTTTTTTTAGCTGAAGAAGCTCGACAAGGGAGATTACAACACAAAGTTTGTAAAGGCTCTGGATACTGCAGTCTGTGGTTTATCAAAGAGTTTTCTGGATCCTTTTCGGACATACAACTTCAGAAAATATACAATTGAGTATTTCAAGTTCGAAAGTATACTTTATCCTTTTCTGTCCTGCCAGTTTTCTTATTCACTTCCTTTTCTCCCTCTACTTTCTGATAGCTGGAGTGCTGGAAGAAGTTTAATACAGCCACTACATTCAGTACTTCTCTGGTATATTAATATTTTCCTCAATAGTCAACAAGTGGCTGCTTGATTTCTTCCTTAACACGTCTAACGTCTTAAAGTGTCCATCCCATTTTTAGCTCGTTTTGTTGTTTATAAAATATCTCTTAATCAGCCCCAAATTTGTCTTTCTGTAATTTTTTTCAGTTGCATCTTGTTTTGTCTTCTGGAGTGACAAAGATTTCTAATACTTGTTAACATTACAATGCTCAAGATGTAGTTATTGTTGAAAGTCACTCTTGTGGATCTTTCCTGTTTCTGCATGTCTTTCCAGCAGAGGCACTGACAACATTTTGCTTTTTTCAAAGAGATTTGTTTAGAGATAGTATCTCCCTTCCCTTTAAAAAAATGGCTGGGCAGGTTTGCTTGCAGCTCATTATAAAATACTGGGATTTACCTAGCTCAGAGTTCCCCTCCTGTAATGCAGCCCATTGTGTGTGCAAACACCATCTGGCTTTTTTGTGTTGACCTGTGGGAACTGGAGCTTAAGGAACTGGCATGGGAAAATGCTGATACTCAGTGTTGTGATTGCTGTGAATGATAAACTATCCTTTGTCTCTGACCCAGAAGTCTTGTGTCTTCTGCCAGCAGCCATGAAACTGTTGCAAACTTGTTATTTTGCAAGTAGGGTAAAATCTCAGATCCTTCATAGTTCTTGATAGGTACCATATCCCTCCAGGATAAGCAGTTCTAGTTCCGTCAACCACCCTATATAATTTTCACATGCTTTGAATTATCTCTTATTCTTATCAAAAATTCTGGATGCTCTTCAGTTTAACTATGTCGTTGGTACCTAGAAAGGAAAATAATAGTTCATAGGTGGTCTGACTAAAATGAAGGGAACCAAATTATCACTTTCTTTGTTTTGAAAACCTACTTTTTATACTTTTTCTATCATATTCATTGCAGTCTCCATCTTTGTATCACCTGTAAATTGGCTCAGCAAGCCTTCTATATATTTATCCACATTAATGATAACAATTTGAACATATCTAAGCCAGAGAGAGTGTCCTGGGCCTTGCCACAGAGAACAATGCACATAAGAAGTCAGTTG